TTGACCAATAGTGTGTTAGTAACGTTGGTATCAGCTTTATATTGTGTTTAGTAACAGTTTGATATCGATTATATTGACCAATACGTAGTATGAGTTTGGTATCAATGGTATTGACCAATAGTGTGTTGGTATCTGCTGTATCACCTAAAAAAGAGTAGTATGGGTGCCTCTTTGCTCTCTTTCAACAAGTAAAATATGTTAAACCCAACTGAACCAGTTAGCGGACCTGGAAAAACCGTTCAGTTAAATATTATATTCTAATCCCAACCAATCTTCACTAAATATAGGTATCTTGAAATTAATACTAATAAGTTTTCATTTAAAAAAGTGTAAATTGTCACCGTGATTTAGGGGTATATATATAAAAGGGAGATCTTTCATCCACCCTGCCCTACTTGCTTGCGTCATTCCGCTTATGACTTTCAGTACCTAGCAGGGCGTGGCTAGAGTAGTTATAACGGGGGTTAATCACGTAAACATGAATTTGTCGAAGGTATTAAAGAGACATCTCTTTCAAATACTAATCAGATAGATTATACAATGATTGAAAAAAAAATTAAATATATCTAATATGATCAGATGAACCGATACCAACATTGTAACGAACGATTCTAATAGATACTTGGAAAAATTAGCTATTATAAAGAAAAGGGTTATTTGATTCGTCCAAATGAATCGTTTTTATTTATTTAATCTAATTTAGGAAAGATGTGATTAAATTTTATGTGTAAACCACAAAATGGCGTCACAGCTGGAGGGTCCTATGTATGTTACACATTTAATTAAACGAATGGTCAATCTAGTAGCAATTATATGCATCTTTGCTTATTTCTAAGCATAAATAAGCCGTTCTATATGGCGTCTTCCTCTAAGCAAAATTTCAAAGATTAAGAAGCTACTTAGCTTTAGAAAACATACTTATAAAACAAAAGAGAAGAGGGTGCCCCAGTTCAAAATCTGAAATAGACTAGTGTCTAGTGGATGCAAAATTGCTCCGATTTTTAAAAAAAAACCGCTAGCTCAATATTCTTTCCAGAAAAATATTAGGCGCTAGCCGGAGATTGTTACTCGTAGATTCGAACATCTATTTAGCGAAATATCTAAGCTTTTAAGGCAATACTTTTCCGGTTAAAATTGGCTCAAATGGAGCGATCGCATTACTACCAGTCTCGTTAAACGCGTCAATTGGGCGGCAATTTTTTTTTAAAAACGGACCGATTAAGATTTTATTGGTTTTCAGGCCCGGCCCGGATTTTTATAAAATATATTTTTGATTTTTATAGCTAATAATGGCGATTTCAAATAGTTGGTTTTAAAATATACGGCCCGGCCCGGGTATATTCAACAGGTCGCTGGTATTTACCTAATAATAAGCATCGAGATTTGGCTAATAGAGGGTCAAAAAATTTCAGTTTTAGGACAAAAATATCAAGGCTTACGTAACGTTACTTTAGGCTAAAATCTTAATCTGACCACCCAGTAGCTATTTACAGCTCGGACAACCTTTAAAAATAAAAATTATTTTGCGTTTTTAGGTAATAAGCGTTTTATCCGCTAAAACTCTTATTGACAGCGCGAAGCAAATAAATTCAAGAGTTGGACCACCGAATCTCAAAACCGGTTAACCGGGTTTGGACAGTAATTTATTAATCGGTGGGGGGGATAAAAGGGTTGAAATATTAATTAAATAAATTTTAAAAAAAAAATTAAAATAAAATAAATAGAAGGGTAGAAAAGAAAGAAATGGAAGATGGAAAAAGGGAAGAAAAGAATAGGAAAAAAATATATATATAAAGGAATTGAAAGGAGAACGACAATTATTGCCAATGCCATTAAAATACAATTTTACAAATTTTTTTTTTCTTGTTTTTATGAGGTATTAAAAAAAATTATTATAAGGTGTGTATAAAAGGTTTGATATATTACATACATGATATATATGTATATATAAAAATATTTATTTTATTAATTTATATATTAGTATTTATTTTATTATATTATATTTTTTAATAAAATAATTATATAATTTTCAATTTTTCCATTCAATTGATATATTCATATTTTATATGAAAAAATAGCTTAAAGCTATTGTCAATGGGAAGAAGGAAAAAAAAAACATTAAAAAAATGTTCCGACATTTAATTAATAATTTACATATTTTTTTGTTTTCCTTTCTCTTTACCAAAATATAAAATAAAAATGGAGGTCAACTAGGTTTGTTTTTGGCGCGTTGATTAGAGAGAGGTCCTTCGGTCCGCTTTAATCGGGCAAAACCGAATTTTAGGGTAAGGTCTTTATGCGAATCCTTTTCGTTCTCGCTGTCACTGGGTTTAAGTTCTGTCACACCCTTTTGGCATTTTATTTTGGCATTTTTGAGCAAAAATTCTTTTGAATTTCCTTTTTTTTATTGTGGATAAAATGGGGAGTTTGTTTAATCAGCTGATTTAAGGAATGAGCAAATTTGCGGGTAAATAAATCGCGTAGCGTCAAATACTCTCCTCTTTTTTTTTAAAATTAAAGATAGATATTAATTTAAGATTTTTCTCCCATCTAGATCATGAGTAGTTATGGAAGGAAAAGGATTGCACCAGACATTTTACTGGTTTTTTAAAAAAAATAGGATCGGGAGATACTTTCAAAAAATTCCGATACAATATGGGGATTATATTTATATAGTCGAGAATTAGGTTATTCCAAATAAATTAAAAAAATTTTATAATTATACTTTTCTATTTATTTACATTTAAAAAAAAATCGAGAATAATAGAAGCCTAATTTTGTTTTTTTTTTAAAAAAAATAATTGTTCTCGTGTTAAATTATAACGAGAAAAAAAAAGTGGAGATGGAATAATCTAATTCTCGAGCGACGATATGTCACAATAGGTTGATGCGTATTGGAATATAAATTCGAGACTTTGAAGGGGGGGGGGAGAATCTAATATAGTCTTGACAACAAACAAAAAGTGGAGATGGAATAATCTAATTCTAGAGCGACGATATGTCACAATAGGTCGATGCGTGTTAGAATATAAATTTAAGTGTTTTTAAAATGAGATGAACGACTTGGGGGGGGGGGGAAATCTAATATAGTCTTGGCCAAAAACAAAAAGTGGAGATGGAATAATCTAATTCTCGAGCGACGATATGTCACAATAGGTCAATGCGTGTTAGAATATAAATTTAAGTGTTTTTAAAATATAGTCTTGGCCACGAACATGGAGATGGAATAATCTAATTCTCGAGCGACGATATGAGGTCGATGGGTGTTGGAATATAAATTCAAGTGTTATAAAATGAGATGATCGATTTTGAGGGATCTAATATCGCCTTGGGAAAATTTCAGTGTTTTTTTTTAAAAAAAGAGTTTTGAAAGAAAATTTTGCTTAAAAATTCCAGCAAAATAAAATCTTAAAAGATCATAGAATTGAAGATTTTCTATGCATAAAAATCGCCAGATAATTTTATATTCTGGAGAGCATTTCAAATTCTGGTTTATCCGTCGTTTATTATAGTGCGACTAATTGAGCGTTTTCAAAAAAAAAGCAAACCATTGCGTTTTTATTAATGTTGCTAAATCGTTATACACATACCATTTTTTGAAGTATTGTTTGCGTTTTGAATAACGAGAGACAAACGCTCAATTTTGTCGCACTATTAAGTAGTAATTTTTTTTTAATTATGAAATTTGTTTTAAGGATAGATGGTTTAATAAAAAATAATCAATTCAAATATCCTATAAGTAAAAAGATCGGTCTTGTTTGAATATCGGATTGAATAGGTAAAAAAAAAAATTGAGGATCGCGACCACCCTAGAAACAACCCCCTTCCACCCCATCCCTCAAAACATTTCTGGAGATATGCTGTCATGCTAGGAAAATACAACTAATTAATTTCATTAATGTTTATATATTTTTAAAATATAATGTTTTTCTGTTTTTATAAAAAAATTTTTATAAAAATATTATTATATTGGTGTAAACTAGGGGAGAAGAGCAAATACCCCCTTCCCCTTCATTAATTGATTGAGAAAATGATGGATACATCAGTTTATAGTTCATCTTGCCTGAATCAACATGAACATATTATATTAAGCCTAAAGTATATTTTATTTAGAAAGGAATATTAATTTTTTTTTTCTATTTAAAGGACGAGTAAATTTAAAGATATTTATTCATATTTAAAAAAAAACTAATTAAAATAAATTAAATTTATCCATGTCACTTGCTGTTAATTTAATCATTAGTAATTCCTTTAGTTGTGACGATATCTTTGTCAAAATTAAAATAATGTAGTATCAATATGTGTTATATCTCAGAATTGTTAGAAGATATGTCAAAATTTTTTAATGTGTAACCATCTTGGAAGGCTAATACGCTATTTCAGTATTAGAAAATAAAATCAGACTATATTTTGGACCCACTTTAACAAATTTTTTTAAATATTGAACATATTTTTGAGACCAATTCTAATGCCTCCTTCTATTAATCTCGTCATATAACAAGTTTTAATGTTTTATCAATATTACAAGATATTTATATAAAAAATCAATCTGGTAAATATTCCAAAATCTACACATTTTTTAACATGATTCACTTTCACACCAATCTATAAAATTAAGTGAGCATTTAATTTTTAAAAATTAGAATATCAAAGAGCAAAAAGTTAAATATGATATAATCATCCACAAACCATAAATAACTCAATCACTTAGTCAGTGTTCTCTCCATTAAATTATTGTAATCTAATTTGAAACCCATTTACATACTATTTTATTTAAAATAATTCTCTGTTCTTATCATTTATATAAATATTTTCTTATACATGTTTAAAAATAATAGAAAGAAAAAAAGACTTTTGGTATAAAATTAAAATAATTTATATTAACAAATTTATTTGGCAATATTCCATAATTAATGTGATATATATATATATATATGTGATAATTTAATATAAAGTAATTAGGTTTAAATTTCATAAATATATTAATTAAAAATAATTACTTTTGATTTAACTTCTATGGTATTAGGATCTGGAATTTTTCTTCTTTTAGATGATTTTCTATAGCTTGACATATTAATTTTTAAAACTACACATGATGATTAAAACAATTAAAATTTTCAGGTAAAAATGGATGAGTTACCTTCAAAATGAAAGATCTGTTAGTCATAAATGTTTTTAGGCTAGTAGTGTTACATCCCTTCATTACATCCTAAAACAACAACTAAATTATATTAAAATGTAATAAAGCCAGAAGTGTAATGGGGCTATGCCCCCCTCTGATAACTTCTTTGATTTTTAGCACCCATTCCAAATTTTGCGGATAGGCTGAGGTCAAATTATTGTTAGACGTAATTTGTAAAATATTCGATATTAATGAATTCTGATATTTGATTGTTGGATATGTTGATCGATGTTATTTTATTATTTATTTTGGCAATTGATCTATTTTATATTATATCAATTAGTATTTAAATTTAATCGGTGAAAATTATATATTAACATTTTTTTTATACATCAATTTGTATTAGTTATTTTTTTTATTATTGTTTAAAAAAAAGATATATAAAAAAAAATGTAATTGAGGATGAAAAAATAAAAATGTAATTTACCATATAATAAAATTATGATTAAAAATAAAATAATAATCAAATAATAAATGTGGATATTAATTCAATTCCAACATGGAGGCCAATCTACGTCCGAACTTTGCGTAAGTACTATCTCAAAATTTGATCTTGATTTTACAATGTACATTTATTCTATTTGACGCCTTTATCGATTATAATTCTCTTACGATGGATGCTTTGAACAATTCCACATATATGACTGAAATCAAGCTCCCCAAATTCAGTAGCGATGACAGCGCCTACATAGGGAAATTGCAAAATTTCGTCAACACCAGCAAGATCTCCAACGGAGAAAAGGCCGCTCTATTTCTCCGAAGTCTTCCTGATGACGAATTTAATCATATTTGGGAAATTTGCACTGAGGAAGACTTCCAGTACCCAATCGCCCTGCTTGGCAAATTCAAGTTACAACATCCATCGAAGACCGAGAACGCTAAATTATTTTATGCTGCAATTCAAGGCAAGGATGAGACATTCTCGGCTTGGGTCACGCGCGTCACGACTCAATAAAAAATGTAAATTTAATGGCATTCAGAGAATTATTGAGAAAGTGAGAGTATCTTCGTATTCCAAAGATGTCAAGAACTCTAAGACCATAGAAGACATTTACAATCTAGGTCTAGAGGAAGACACCGAGGACCCAAGTGGCATCAAGGGTGAGATGAAATTGTTACATTTGAATGAATCATCTGGTGTACAAGAGGTTAATCACATGGGCAGAGTCAAAAATAGTTAAGTAACAACAAAACTCATTCAGGACTCTCACGCACATGGTAAATCGCTTATCAAGCAACCCCAGTTCATTAATGACAATCGCCCCGCACAGCATTTCGATGAACGTTACGATTTACGCTGCGAATATTGCCGTGACAAACGATTTGATGAACGTTACAATATACGCTACGACAACGACCGCGACAAACGATTCAACGGACGGCACAGCAATTCCACGACAATCGTTTTGATCAAAGCTAAGATAATTGTCACTACCGCAACCGTTCCGATAATCGCATCGATAACTACTACGACGATCGATACAACAATAGCATGTACAACGTCCAGGGCAATCGCCACGACTCTCATTGTGACAATCATCAAAGTCCTGATCGACGGGATGACTGCATAGGATAACCGAACCAACTATCCCCGTCGTAGTCAGCACAGACACAACCCTCAAAATATTAATGGTTTTCCAAAATATTCGTCGAGGCCCAACCAGTACAATAATGACAATAATACTTATAATAGATCTTCTGATTACAAAGATCGAGATTGTCAATTGAATACGAACCATGCTATGAACATCGAAGTAATTGATGATGACGACGACTCAAACACAGACCTTAAAGAATATAATCTGCAGAATTTGGAAGTGTACAATCTGGGGGTCAAGGATACCACATATGACGCGTACAACGTGACAGTGAGCATCAACAACATACCCACGTTGATGCAAGTTGACACCGGTACTAGTACAGTATACTTCCGAAGCTGACAGCTAAGACTGTAGGCATAACCGCGATACGTAAGACGGATATTAAACTCACTGGTTATGACGGCAGCGCTATCAAGATATTAGGTCTTACCAATGTGAACGTTAAGTATGATGGAAACTCACATACACTGGAAGCCATTGTAGTGGATTGTGATAAGATCCCCCTGCTAGGGCGTATGTGGCTCAATACCTTCAACAATATTTTAAAAACGTTCTTAGTGGGTGTGAAGAATGATCTCGAAAAGATAATCTCGACAACAAAAAAAGACCTCGAATCAACTTACTCCTACAAACCCAAAATGGTCAGACAAGATAAAGTTCACTTGAATCCCGATGCTGTGCCTAAGATCATACCTTCAAGGAGAATTCCGTGCGCCTAGATTGATGCAACGACTCAGAAAGTGGATTGCTGGCTAAAGCACGACAAAATAAACCTTGCTTGAAAGGAATCTAGATGTCCGATGCCATGCACAAGCGATCCGGTTTGGAAATTAGCTAGGGGTTGTCTTTACTTTACCAAGCCATTGTTCGGTTTGAAAAGAAGACTGCACCATGAACATGGGTGGCGTATAGCGTGATGATCATGAATGTTAATGACGTTACCACTTAACTTATCCAAGGAAATCATAAGCCGAATTTCTTTGGAGAGTGGAATGTTGAATTTGTTGACCGATGTTATTTTATTATTTATTATGGCAATTGATTTATTTTATATTATATCAATTTGTATTTAAATTTAATCGGTCAACATATTCAACATTCCACCCTCCAAAGAAATTCAGCTTATGATTTCCTTGGATAAGTTGAGTGGTAACGTCATTAACATTCATGATCACCACGCATTAAGTAATTAGGTTTATAAAAATAATTACTTTTGATTTAACTTCTATGATATTAGGATCTGGAATTTTTCTTTTTTTTTAGATGATTTTCTATAGCTTGACATTATAATTTTTAAAACTAAACATGATGATTAAAACAATTAAAATTTTGGTAATCAAGTAAAAATGGATGAGTTACCTTCAATATGAAAGATCTGTTAGTCATAAATGTTTTTTAGGCTAGTAGTTTACATCCCTTCATTACATCCTAATGCTAAACAACAACTAAATTATATTAAAATGTAATAAAACCAGAAGTGTAATGGGGCTATGCCCCCTGTAACTTCTTTGATTTTTATCACCCATTCCAAATTTTGCGGATGGGCTGAGGCCAAATTATTGTTAGACATAATTTGTAAAATATTCGATTTATTGATGAATTCTGATATTTGATAAAAATAATAATCCATCAAATTTATAATTTTTAACTTAACAACTCACAAATATTATAAATTTATTATCATATTCAACTACAAAATATTCAGGTTAGGCCTTATATTTAAAAAAAAACCTTGCGAATTTTATAAAACTGGGCTGGGATTAGCAAAAATTGAATCCGGGAGTGGTGAGGGCTTAAAAACTTTACTATCGAGCCGAGCAGTGCTTGAGGATTTAGCCTTGCAGCCTAATGTATAGTTACAACTTATATTGATTATATAAATTCATTAATTAATAAATATAATTTAGCATTGTACGATGAAATAAAGATATCCTTATTACTAGGAGAATTAAAATTGATGTAAACAAATATACAATGATTAGTCACTGTCATATTTTTTTTATAAAGCTTTGTTTTCTTTTGTAACATAGGTTTTACAAAAAATTAAAAAATTTATGCTTCAGTTATTAATATCATATAGGCTTTTAAATTCATGATTACACTATTATTAGTATTATATCCTACCCTTTTAGTTAGGGATATCTTAGTTCTCTAAGAGTTGAAACAGCTGCTCTAGTAAATTTAAATTAAATGTAGTTTAATAAACCTTAGGGTGGTTTATATTATATATTTCAACGGCGATTATTAGAAGACGGATTTATAAATTTCAAATTAGTTCCATTTTTATGGATATAATTTCTATATAAGAGATAAAACATCGCTTTATCAATTTACAACTTTACTCAAATCTTTATATAATTTAAACTCATAGCTATAAGGCAAGATTTGAGGGTCGGAAAATTTTTTCTAGTGAATAATAACTTTTAGTAAGAGCGATTAGCTCAATTAATTCGCATCGCATCTTATAACTATCAAATTTCACATTAGACGACGTGGATAAAGGTGTTGGCGGAATTTATGAGAAAAATGAATCTTACAAAATATTGACACTCCGGACCGTCAAAAATGGAAAAGAAAAATAAGAATGTGAAAACTGGTTAAAACTAGAAATCGCCATTAAACGGAAAAGAAGAAAAATCATAGAGATCTAGATCGTTTCAACGTAATTCATTTGGTTATTAAAAATTTATACCCTATTATTTACTTATTTTTTTTCTTTGTAAAATTACGCAGCGACATACCAAAGCAAATAGTGTTCTATATTAATTAAACTGCGCCTAACTAACCTCTGTAATTTTTCAAATATTTTATTATTAATATTATTCGACAAGGACCAATATAATAATGTTTTTCACTTCCCAAATATTTTAAAATTTTTTTAATGGTAAGTTCATCAATGACATAATAATAATACCTAGACTGACGATGCATTCATTAAAAGTGTACATCAAGGAATAACAGCTGGGGACGCCATTTTGGTTACCCATATGATCATTATCAAAAATATTTTAAACAAGAGGCCAATTTATTTCCTACGTCGGTGGCAAACTTTATTAAAGAATCGCCTGATCAACGAGATAATAAGGAAGCAAGTTATCAATTTAATAGTAGTTTTTTTAAGATGAGAATAATTACGAATATGGGTTGCCAAAATGGCTGGTCCAGCTGATTCGCATTCATTAGTCGGACAGACAAATAATATTTCCGAGTCGGGTTTGGCTGGGCTTGAAAAATTAGATTTGATACAGATCACTTAGTCTATATTATAGGTTAGGCTTAGGGGGGGGGATATTGACAAGTTTAACAAATATAAAAAATAAAAGGGGATATCATTATGATTATTCTTGATCTGAGGGTGGCAAATCCTAGAATTTATTTAGAAAATTAATTTCATCCTGTATCATTGTATCGAAGGAGGTTATCATTTAAATATAATATGTTAACGTGTTATTTTTTTTTTCCAACTTTAAAAACATTTTTTGGGAACGTTTTTTAAAAAAATTTTAAAAAAAAATCTGGTTTTGCCGGAAATGTAATGACATCGTGTTTCGGAAATACACCCCCCATGACATTTCGGACAATGTTTGCGTGAACTTTTAAACTTAATATAATATTTATATTAAATTTTTCCATATAAATTTTAAATGACTCAAAGGTTAACAGCAAAATTTGTCTACAATCAGTGTCTACAAGAGCGAAGGGGGGGGGGGGGTAGGAACAGTTTGCATCCTAATATCTATAAAGGGGTAGGGGGTAGGCTATAAAAATCTAGAAAATTTTCCATTACATTTTTAAATTATCTATGGGATAACATTTTGGTATTTTTAGGGGGTTAGAGATATATTTTTGAGGGTGGTTTGCATCCAGTGAATATACTGTCATGTCATGTAGACGCTGTTCTACATTTCATAAGATAGATAGGTATTCCAAACATGATTGAATACAAAAAAAGATTTAGGAAAAGAAATTTTTTTTTTAAAAAAAAAGAGATAAAAATGTAAGTAAGGGGGGGGGGGTGTTATTTTAGTTAATTAATGTTTAATAAATCTCTCAATTTTTAGTCGATTTTTTGTCTATTTCAAAAAACAGGCGAAATATCGATTATATTAGTCAGAAAAAAATAAATTATCCCGAAAAAGATAGGTAGAGAGAGAGAGAAAAATAAATAAATAAATTCCCGCCTCAACGTTAGGCAAGGAACATCGGATCGGCATTTACGATTGGATGAGGCATTATCTATTATAAATCGTCTCCATATTTTTTTTTTACAAATTCGTAAGCTTTAAATATATTGGGAGCCATCTTTAAAATTTTTTAAACGAATCCTAAACAAAAAGAAAAAACTTTTAGGAAGTTAGGTTCTCATCGGAACAGTTGCGTTATTTCGAAATCGTAAAAATATCGAATTTTATTTCATTTCGTACATATCCCTCCCCCATAATTATAATTATAATAAATATAAACATTTTTTTTTATAGATAACCATTAATTAGTCCAATCGCGTTATACTATAATATACAAATAAATAGGCGCGTGTAAATGATAATAGGTTTTTGATTGGTGGGAATTTTTTCTTTTTCCCGAAGTAGTCTAGAGACTAATCACCTAAATCGGCGTCTTTGTCTCCTACATTCCACAGGACCCAAAAAGCGATCGCTAATAGGCCGGTGCCCAACATGTCTCCTATCGCGGTAATGTAAGGGATAGCCGCGTTATCCGGATCGACTCCGCGTGCCCACATTGAAGCGACTATTCGCTCCGTTATGTAGAGGAGAACAACGACCTACATTTTTGAAAGGAAAAAAAAAATTACATCATTTTAAATATTATATCTTGTCTACTATCAATTCAGCCAATAGAGCCTCGGGGATTTTAAAAAAACAGCATGGAATATTATAAAATGAGCATTTTAGTCTACATTATGACATGGGTTAGAGCGGAGGTTTAGCAATCATCCAGAGATAGAGATAAGAGTGAACAATTTTTGAGGAGGGGGAAAAAATAATGGGGGGGGGGGAGAGAGGGGGTGTAGCTGAGAAATTTTTTAACATTATAATAGTAAAAGTATTTCAACGATACATAAATTATGGATATATTGAGAAAATCTTTCAATATTTTTACGATGATTTAGGCACAAACAATTTTGCTTGTAATTCCCCATTTGAATATCCTTAAAGAATTAATTTCTCGTAAAGTATGTCTCAGTAAGCATTGACTGAAGAATATCTTAGTCATTCATATAAATAAGAGTCAGAGTTCGCGATCAAATTGCTCTGAGAACTACTTATATCGGAATACGGTTTCGGTAAAAATAACCAGAATTTTCAAAAATGTACGAAAAAAAGGAGGCTTTTATATAAAATAGTAAATCGGAAAAAGATATTACATTATAAATTGTATTAATTTACGTAATTTTTTTTTATATAAATTGTCTTTCGTTCTTTTATAAAAAAAATAATACATTGTATATGGCGAATTCAGCAAAAAATAGGTGTAAAAAATAAACACGATTCTAGGCCTTACCAGTTTTAGATGCTTTTTGTAAAAAAAAAAATTTAAATTTGTGCACTAATAGTAGGTAATAGAGTAACTATGAAAAAAAATATGTAACAATATATCAGTTGTAGTTGTGTATAGTAGTGTTGTTAAACGGCTCGTTTTGAGCCGATTTTTAAGAACGGCTAACTCAATATTTTAGCCAGAAAAATATTCCTAAGCCCCGAAATTTCGATAATATAATGTCTAGACCTTCTTCGTTCCTTCTATGAGCAAAATCCGTGTAACAACACTAGTTGTGTATTTGTTTTTTTTGCATTATATGTATATAACTTTTATATGATATCCAGAATGAAGGCATTTCATCCTAAAATATAATTTTTTTTAAAAATCAACTTAGTCAAGAGAAGAGAATGAGAAGAGATCCTTCCTTCCTTATTAAAATTAGGCAAGATTATTTGTCGCTCCTATAACCGTATTTTGCAACAACAAAAAAAATATATATATGTATATTTATATAATCAATATTTAAGGTTTGGCTTGCGTCAATGTGTTTCTTCTGGCAATATGTCATTTTTTTTTCTTCAACTTTTAAATCATTATTTTTGAGCGCGTTTATTTTTTAAAAAATTTTAAAAAAAAATCCTGATTTGGATGTGTGCCGTCATGTTTAGAATAATTACTCCAAGAATTTCGTTAGTATACAATTTATTCTACGAAAACCTTTAACTTTAATATAATTAATATTAAATTTCCCATATATTATTTTTTATATATATATATAAATTATAAATGGCTCAAAAGTTAATAGCAAAATGCAAAATTGTTACGATACGTATCCGGTAAAATCCTATTACCCGGGTCGAGTCGGGCGTGTAATTTTTTTTTAAAAAAACCGGGTCCGGACCGGAAATTTGTTTTTAAAAAGAAAGCCTGGCCGGGCCGTTAAATCCGGGCCGAGCGGTGCAAATGATACCTCTGCAGGTCTTTGGCTTAAAAATTAAAAAAAAAATAGTGTAAATTTCGCTGGTCATAATTGCTATTAAAGGGCATTGTGATTCTTTTATCAACTAATAAAGCCCCAAAATTTTCTTTTCCTATTTATAAATTATCGTATCGAATGTGGGAATGAAAGGCAATTCGTTCCCCGATAAATAATTGTTGATACGGGAAATGATTTACGGGAAATCTTTGGGAAGGTAAAATTGAATGAAAAAACTGATTTAAAAATTTAAAAGTAGAAAAAAATAATTAATTATTTAATCCAATAAATTATATTTTGGGCGCGTTCCCGCCATCTTTATCTAACGTGTATGGAATAACTTTTCGCCATCTTGGGTTCGTCTTCCTGATTTATTTGTTCTAATATCTGAATCTATCGATTCTGGATAAAAGTACCCACTGTTGTATCTGTCGATTAGTAATTGACATTTATGGACGTTTTGCCGATATATTTTGGAGGAAAAAAAAATCGATTTTTTAAAAAAAAATTATTGTCGAACAGGTATCGGCAGATCCATTTGACTTTGTTTTGTCATTAAACCATTTCGCTACAATTTTTCGAAAAATTTTTCGTATAAGTTTTTGACTTCAATATTAACAGATTTTTAACTCAATATAGCAGATTTTTTCGAGATTTGACAAAGGTAATCGGTTTTAATTATATTTTACATATAAATTGTAAATTAAATACAGTTTTAATTAGATGTGCTATATGATCATTTTCAGAGTTGTTAAAGGATCTAGATACAAGTATCTGATCTGTATCTAGATAGATTTTTGATTAAAATATCTGCATCTAGATATTATTTTAGACGATGTATCTTTATTTAGATCCATTTAAAAAGTATCTTTTAACAACTCTGGTAATTTTTATTGCACTTTTCTTTAAAATTAGGTAGTATAAAGCCATCAATTCCATACCATAATTGTAATAATCTCCAATAATGATACCTTCTTCATATAAGAAGATCAAAATATTACAAAAATAAATTTTATTATATTTGTAAATCACCAACCTGCCATGGGAAAAGGTTATACACTAAATAACGTTATTCACACAATGACAGCAGAATGCAGTGGTAAATTATTTAATATACAAGGTGTGATTTATTATTTTCTAGATATTTGCAAGTATTTGACTGCAAGAAGAGGAAGTATTTTACAAATCAATATGAAATATTATATTTTAAATTTGATTACGAATAGATAATCAAAATTTTTTAATATATTTTTCCTTAAGTGTCGTTGGCAAGAAATCAAGAGACATTAGTGCTTTCTTTGATCAATCCTACACGTGAGGATTTCTGGGATCCTGTTGAAAGAAGGTCAAGAGGCTCTGGCATCCATGATCAATCCTACACAAGAAGTTGGAGACGGTGATGTGGGAATTTAAGGGATCCTGAAAGAAGGTCAAGAGGCTCTGTCTTCCATGATCATACTCAAGGCTGTGGAGAGTGTTTTTAGTTAATCAAAATTTTCTTAATATATTTTATTTTAAATTTTATTATAAATAGTTAATCAAAAATTTTGTTAATATATTTTTCCTTAAATATCGTTGGCAAGAAATCAAGAGACATTAGTGCCTTCTTTGATTAATCCTACACAAGAAGCTGGAGAGAGTGACCTCCCTGTTTTACTATTTTTAGACGAAAGTTTTATAGATGAAGAAGTTGTAGTCGACATCTCCATTGCAACTGATAGCTCTGTAACTTTACCAATATCAGTTAATAACACTCAAATCTCATATTTAAATGTAGAACAGTAATATAATTTTATTCTTCCCCCCCCCCCCCCAAAAAAAAAGTAATTTATTATATTCAAATAAATATCTATTTATACACCATAAATTTGGATTTTATTTAAATGTAGATTAAGTCATCGTACCGCAAGAGGTACATTATTAAATATGCAGTTCATTGACACATATTCACAACCATCCTACCGAATCTGAGGAAGAACATTATGCTATTTTAGTAACTATGAATAAACTTAAAGAACAAATTCGGGCATACCCCTATCAAAGCAAACGTAAAACATATAGTCAAGCTAATGTGCATTAGAAAAATGGATTCCATCGTTCGACTCCATCCTCGAAATTTGATCGGCACTACAGAGGCTTTCAAGTAGTTTACGCGTAGAAAATATTAATAATTCATTATTTTCATTTACAAATTAAAAAAAAAAGTTTATCTTCTAGTGTTGATATATATAAATTGCCGTATAATCGAATATCAGAAATTATAAGAGGCAAAGGAGGTCTCAAATGATTTAATAACACACGATTCATAATAGTTTTGACAGATAGAAATGTTGGTAGAACATCAGGATGGAGTCGAACGATGGGATCCATTTTTCTAATACATGTTTTACGTTTGCTTTGATAGGGGTATGCTCGAATTTGTTCTTTAAGTTTATTCATAGTTACTTAAACAGCATAATGTTCTTCCTCAGATTCGGCAGGATGGTTGTGAATATGTGTCAATGTAAACTGCACATTTGATAATGTACCTCTTGCGGTACAATGACTTAGTCTACATTTAAATAAAATCCAAATTTATGGTGTATATATATGTGTAGATATTTATTTGAATATAATAAATTACGTTTTTTTTTGGGGGGGGGGGGGAATAAAATTATATTGCTATTCTACATTTAAATATGAGAATTGAGTGTTATAAACTGATACTGGTAAAGTTACAGAGCTATCAGTTGCAATGGAGATATCGACTACAACTTCTTCATCTATAAAACTTTCGTCTAAAAATGGTAAAACAGGGAGGTCACTCTCTCCAGCTTCTTGTGTAGGATTAATCAAAGAAGGCACTAATGACTCTGATATTTTACCAAGGATACTTAAGGAAAAATATATTAAAAAATTTTAATCACTTTATATATATTTAAACATTAATTAAATATCATTTCTATATTGGTGGTTAAATATTGCATAAATTAACATTTTTAATTTGTTTTTAATTATATTTAAACTTATTAACAAATTTAAAAATATGTTTTAATATTTATAAATAATTAAAAACTATAAGTAGTTAAATATTGTCAAAATTATCATATAAATATTTTAAAAATTTTATTAAAATTTAAAAAAAAAATGTCTAGTTTGTAGTCACCATCTTTCTTTTATTTTGCCGCGAAATCAGCTGTGGTAATATTTAGGCCCCGAACCATGGACCATTTTGTTTTTTTATATTATTATTATATTTTTATGGAATTCATAAAAAATAAAGATAGGATTATGGTATTTGACACGTCCACATTACCGGTAAATTCGTAGTTTTCGCTAATTCGCGTTGAATTATACAGTGTGCGTCGTATTTTTTATATACCCCGCCGGAAATTAGTGTTAACTATCGGGGTTACGAAATTTCCGACCATTTATTGTTTTTTTTTGTCGCAAAAGACAAATTTTTACGGCGAAAAAGACCAATGGCTTATAATGACTAGAGACGGAATTCATTCTTTAAAAGTGTGCACCAATGAAAAATCAGCTGAGGACGCCATTGTAATTACGCGTAGCACATTTATTTTTAATTTTTTAAATTTTAAATGATATTCTCACAACTAAAATTCGAATAATTTAAGGTGTTCCGGAATCCCGTATAGGTTACCAAAAAAAATGGGTCGTCACGTGATCTTCAGCTGATTCGCGTTCAACGACGCTTTAGAAAAAAAATTGCAATTATCATAAAAGAATTTGCCAGTCTAGGTTTTATTGTATGTCATCGCTCTACTTATGTTGGAATTCCGATCTTTAAAAAAACTTAAAAATCGTGTCCAAAGTAACTAATTTTTAAATCGAGAGAAATCCCAGTGGATTCCATGTTCCAATATGGCATATAAAATCGGGGTGAAAGAAAGAATGGGAAAATTAAAAAAAAAATCTATCATTCTTTTTTTTCTCTCTCGTAGGGTTACTGATCGGGCGATGCGAATGTTTTTTCGATTCATGTTTATGGCGGACCGGGGTGGATCGAGCCACTATTTGAACCCTGCAGAAATTTAATAGGTTAATTTTTTTTATCGATATTGAGCAATCATTATTTGGAATATATTAAGATCGATACAACTGACAGCAATGAGTAAGCGTAATCGTTCATATCAAATTTGATAGCTAAAACTTAGTAATTTACAGAGTTGTTAAAGGATCTAGAAACAAGTATCTAGATATAAAAATGTGGTATCTATATCTGTATCTAGATAGATTTTTGATTAAAATATCGGTATCTAGATATTATTTTAGACGATGTATCTATATCTAGATCCATTTAAAAAGTATCTTTTAACAACTCTGGTAATTTAGCAAGTTTTTAAAGGATAAAATGTCAGTAAGGAGAGAAATCGGGGGACATTTACGTCTCTCTAATGTATTCCTATTCATGTCATTATACCCTGAATCCAAAAATCTACCAACTACCGCTCTGACATCTTATGCCTCATTTCCGGTCGTTTTTTGAACTTCCGGTAAAATATTTGAAACGAAATAATGCTAGGTTTTGTATAATTAATACATCTTTGATATTAAAGTATAATAACTTGAATCAAAGCGGCGGTGATGTAAATGAACGCGAAATGCAGAGTGATAGACGTGTGGCCGGCTTTCATGTAAGCTATCGTATAAATGAATATCAGGTGTCCGGGAACGACCAAGGCTAATAGTATTCTCGAAGTACGCGAATTGGAATCTTAAAATAATAAAAAGTAGCGTTACTTTAAAAAAAATAAATAATTAACGTCTGGCAGTGGTACAGTTACTCGTTCAACAAGTATCGTTTTTTTCCAGTGTGGTCTCCAATTTACGAACATCGGGGATGGAAGTGTTTGAGAACGATTTAACGACAGATTTTTACGATCCTTTAATGACAGGATACTTCCGTGAATGACCAATACAAATAATCGATCACATGACTCCACCTGTTTCTACGAGAAGATTTTAATTTTCCCGCTCAAGTTGATCGTAAACTGCCGGAGTCCGCGATTTAAAAGTTTTGATTATTTTTTTTTGTTTCAATGTAATTTTCTCGAGTTTTAAAGGGATATTTTGGAATAAATTTTCAACCACGAATTTTTTTTAGTGACCTAAATTATATAACCTAAAATTTGAAACAAAAATTATTTAGGTGGAAAACCTAGTATGTTTTAAGGAATACCTTTTATATTTGTATTTTTTTCGTTCTCATTTTTTTTATTTTTATTTGCTTTTCATTTTGTAACATAATTTGTATTTTTTTTTTCGTCCTCATTTTTTTTTATTTTTTCGTTCTCGTTCTTATTTTTTTTATTTTACTTTCCTCGAGTGTTATTATTTTTTTTTTTTAAATAGAAGATTAATAATTAATTATATACGACACATATTTCGCTTGGTTTTCTTTTTATTAGGCCGCGTCAAAAACATCAAAAGATTCTATTCAAAAACTTTTGAAACTTTATCGAAAAAAAAGGCATTTTTTTTTTCTAGGAAAATAAAAAACAAAATGGCCGAAATGCAAAATTTCCATTCATTTTTTTTTTATGGAAAATTGCAATCCTCTTGCTTCCATGGATGATTGGCAACTGTCGTTGCATTTATTTCGACATCAGTTATTTATTACTAAGTAACCAGTCGTGAATTAAAGTATTCTAAAAATCTGTTGATTAATAATTAGAAATTTTCATTCCCCAACGTTCAGAAATTCCGTCCACGCTAGAACCGTTTATGAGACAAACTAGCTGCACGTCCAGATCTGCTATGAACAACTTCACATAGCTCTAGATTTTATCATCAAAATATTAATAATGCACCTCCCTACCCCCCCCCCCCCCCCCATCCACCAGAATCAAAATCTTTGCTACCAGTTTATTGTTTTATAATAATCATTAAGGAATCATTAATTTTAAAAAAAAAATATTCCGGTGTTTTTCTTTTCCACGTGGAACTTTAAATTTCGCGAGACATTTTTTTTAAAAAACCTTTTAGGAATTGGAAACGAGTAGGATCCCCGAATTTCCTTTTTAATTGAGGTTTAAATCATTAAAATGACATTTTTTTATTACCTGGCCCACAAAAGGTGGCGATAAAGTTTTTCTTTTTCCTTTTTTCGTGGGTGTGACAGGTGGCGGGAGACTTGACGTTTTGAGCGTGTAATTGAGTAGAAAGGCGGGAAGCCTGAATAGCGGCCAGGTTACCGCCCACCCCGTTCATCACGGGTTGAAATACGGCTATGCCCTTGAACCTGTGCACGGCGAAATCCAAGATGAAACCTCCCATGCTAAACGTTTAAACGTAATGTAATGTTAGCATTTAAAACAAAAATATTAACCCCTCCCCCCTTTTAAGTGTTTACGGTTAAAATTTTATACAACCCATGGGCGAAAAGGGCCAAACAAAATAAACGGACAGGCGAGTGCTCGGGTTAAAATCTCGTTTAAAATGCCAATCATATATTTTTTAAAAAAATAATATTTACCTACTAATGAGCATAGAAAATATTATAGGAGACCACCCGGTGAGTACGACATCGCGAGTGTAAGGATTCGTGTAGCACACATAGACCCATATAGGGGTTAGGACGGCGTAAAGGCACACAACGCAATAACATATGTCGGGATTGGTGGCTTTCATATATATATTGAATGTTAAATGTTATATAAATTACTATTAATAGAACGCACTTCGAATGCCACATTTTTAACGGACTCTAGTAAACCCCAAATATTGTTAAAACCGTCAAAAATAAAATATCGCAATAGATCGAGACGTTTATGGGAAACGCAAAAATTCCAAAAATAAATAAATATGCGAATTACTGGAATACATTTATAAGAAATCTCGAGGATAATATGGATAGATGAAGTTAGGTCATGGTAAAACTTTTGGCTAAAAAAATGGGGGAAAATTTGGAATTTTTTTTTAATTTAGGAATATCAAAATAAAGCGATATTTAAGTTCAAGAGTACCGTTCCCTTGAATCTATCAATATAGAGATTTTATAGAATATATATATATATATAAGAAACATTTCCCTTATCATTTCACTTTGTTTTCGGCTATTTCGTTATTAAGATCCCTGAAGACTAAGGACAAGTATCGAAAGAAACATTAAAAAGGTATCTGTACGCAAATAATCTATAAAATGTATCGCGCTCCTAATAAAATTTTAAGGATGAGTCCAAAATATCAAAAAAAAACGATTCGCGAACTTTTAAAAACTTTAACAGAAAATAAAAAAAATAAAACGCGTCCTAAATATAATTTCTAAAAAACTTTTTAAAAAATTTCAAAACTTCTGAAAGTTTTTAAACAATTCAAATTTTTAAAAAAAATGATTTTGGACACTTAGCCATAAAATATTTCACTTGTCATTTGTTAAAATTGTATTTTAGAAAATGAATAGATAGGTGGTATATAATATACACGCACGCAGCAGTCGGTAAATAGCCTAATACCGAAAATGATTTATGATTGGTTAACAAAAAAAAGTAATTCCCATATGGGCAACGGCCGGATGTTGGCTAATTATAAATTAAGTATTAATCGTCGGAAAGCGGACAAAAGAAAGAAAAATGTCGGATTTACATTACATTTAGTCCCAACGTTTTATAAGGTTATTTTTCAGCGATAAATCGTATGATTTTTAGATTTATTACAAAATGCAAAAAAAAGAATGGGCGTACCAATGGAAGAAATTAACAAATTCATTGGAAGAATATCAGCTGACTTTATCATTGAAATCATCCGAAATGTGACTGATGCATAAAAACAGATTCTTACTGACATGATATTTACGATTACAGTAATGAAGTGGCTAACGTGCATTGCTATGCATCTTAATCCATATTTTTTGGGAATTCGCGGAAAAAAAATGAATCGAGGAACAAAGTGACCCTAACAAGCAACGAGACGGTGATTAATAAAATAATTGTCGATAAAATTTTCGCAAAAAAAGCTCCGGAACGGAGAAAGAATAAGTTTTCCTATATTTTTTTAAACATAAAAGCGAAATTCGCAATATTAATGGTATGGCGAATTTTTTCGCGATTCGCAAAAATTATATATTTTTATTTTCTTTCAAATTTATTCCATATTTATGTATTAATTAAATATTTTATTTCGATATTAAAACAAAATATAAATTTTTTTATATCTCTCATCTCTATGAATGCCGTCATCCTCAGCAAGACCTAAAAACACAAAAAAGAGGCTTAAATCTTTATAAACATTAAAAAACACGTGGTTTTATTCTTAATATCGCAATGTGATTGGCTAAGGACAATTTCCAAAAAAAAAATGGATTCCTATTTTTCTTATCTTCATTCTTTCTTTGAATCGGATATAAGAGTAATTCATTATTCGTTTTTTAAACTTAACTGGGCATAAATTCTTTCAATACAAAATAGGATTTTTTTTTTAATTTGTCTTGAACACTCTTTAAAAGTACGGCTCACGAGGTTTAACAGCGATGGACGACGATGTGTACGTTAGTGATAAGGCGGGTACGCGGGCCGGGGCAAAAAGATCTTGGCCCTGAAGTTGTCAAAGGACAAATTTTTAAGCCCAAATAGGGACAACCAATAAAAAAACTTCTTTTTTTTAAAAAAAAAGACCTTTCTGGAATGACAATAATTACTAATATAGACTGACGCATTCATTAATTAAAAAGGTGGTACATAACATTGAAATCAGCTGTAATAATTGTCATTGGTCGTAGTAAAACGCAACGTAAATATATACGTACATCTATAATGCCGCGTCAAGGAATGAATCCTCTAGGTCGGCATTTAATGTTATTGGGCAAAGTATATGGCTAAAAAAAATAATTTAAAAAAAAACAAACCCATAGATAGGTTAACGTGTTTGGATATGAAACCGAGCAGCGAAAGAGTTATCAGGTCGCCGAGGCTTGCGGCGATAGGGGTCGCTATATTATCCGGATTAAGATGGCATTTCCGGGATAGGAAAACGACCAAGATCATTATCAATCCTAAGATGTTGTTTTGTAAAACATTTCGATTTAAATTTTAGCAAAAAAAATAAATGGTTTGTGCCATCATACCCCGTCCTAATATACCGAAATTAGCTATTTAATTTTTTTCTCTAGAATTCTAATGCGATCAAATTTGCCTTGTCCCAGATGTAACTAAGATTGATAATCAATTTCAGTAAATTAGTGCTGCCTTTTTATAGAAAGCGCGATACGCTACAGCTATGCGAAATTAATCGCTAGCGAAATTACAGCTGATTCGTTCATCATTTCGCCCAGGATTTATAAACTGGACCTAACATCGGCTCGATTATATAAATCACGTAGCAAAAAATTCGCATCTCTTGAGATGCGAATCGCGTTTACTAAAAAAATGCAGTACTTTACCAGAGCGTTTTCGCGTTCAATAAATTGAGCGTTTGATAGTTATATATCGTTATATGTAACAGGTTAGTTTTAAATATATTATATAATATAAACCAGGAACTACTAAGCAGAAGATAAAAATTTTAACGGGGATAAACGTTCGAAATATTTGAATTTTTGGAGAGTGCAAAGTTCGGTTTCCAGCTCGCTATCATTTAAAATCAGTCGCTCGTCAAAAGCTAGAATATATTGTATGGCTTATGGCCTAATGCGAAGAGCGTCCCCTCTATAATAAGTTGGACGTTGCAATTTAGAGGTATACAATTGGCGGGGTTTTAAAGCCCGCCCATCCAATGGGGCTGACGGACTCAAATATTTTTAAAAATTTGGGCGGGAAAGGAGGTATTAAACAAATTTTTCAGATAAATGGGTGAACGAGCGGAAAACGAAGCCCATTGCAGACCTTCTCGGGGGGGGGGGGGGGGGTTGCCAACAACGGGTAAGTATCCATTTTAAAATTTAGTAGTGATGGATATATCACTTGAGATATAAAAATGGAATTTACAAGAAAACGAAATTCCTTTTTAAAAACGGGATCGGGTCGATACTTTAAATATAAATTAGACCTATATCGATTAATCGGTGAGAAAACCGGAGATACACTAAAGTAACGGTAACTAGGGCTGCGCCTATATTTTTTCCGATATCAAAATGATCCGGTTATCGAAATTGACACAAGATTTACAGATATTTTTTAACGCATATCCTCTTGGAATGTTAATAACACTTCGAAAATATGTTATCTAACAAAAAATATTTTAAGGAGGGGGGCAGCGGCAAATAAATATCCGCCTATTATGTTTGGACCGGGTTTTACAGATCCATTCCAACGCCTACTTAAAATAATTTCGTTTTATAACAAATCGATATTCCAAGACGTTTTAGCTGTCAATCTGGTGGCAACGCACATTATAACTTAGCCATTTTAATATCCGAAAAATATCGGTCCAGCCCTACTTATCGATACCTCGGTGTATCTCCGGTTTTCCTACCGATTATGTTGGTCCAATTCATATTTAAAATATCGAATAGCACCGATTTTGAAAAGGAGAATTTTTCATTTTGTATCGGCGCAGTTCTAATCGGTAGAGATAATCAATGCCGGTTACCAGATATCCTAAAATCATTTTTGTGTAACGACTACTTGTATCTATCAACAAATGAAAGTATCGGCCGTTACCGATGCTGACAACTTCTACAGAAAATTTTTTTAAAATCTGGACAGGGCCAATCTGATATACTGAATATAATGGACATTTTTTTTTAAAAAAAAATCAAATTTTTAGACCTAAAATGGCGCTGGCGAGGGAAGCAGTTAAGATGCTGCTAGCGCAAAGCAGTTTGGCGTGGGTAAAGTCGACACGACCTTCGGGAATCCATCCCATAAAAATGGCCGTGAAAGAGGCCAGGAGCCCAATAACAGCTGCTTGGGCTTGAATCAATGCCAGGTTTCCGGCTATGAGGGAAGGCCAAACGTTTATTTTCTTCTTTTTAAAATATTTTATTCAAAATGCAAATAATTGAAAATAAAAATAGAAATAAAGAGAAAAGAAATAAAATGAAAAAAGAAAAGAAAGATCTATAATTTTCCATAATTACTTTCTTAACATAAAGGCTAAAGTATAATTAAACAGCTGCTTTGTGTGAAAGACAATTATGACATTATGAGGATATACGACGTTCATTTTAGGACCTTCGGGGGATTTTTATTTTGAAATAATCCAAAAAAAACAAAAATAAAAATTGATTTCGCTTTGTGCTTCATTCATTCATACTTTTTTAAATTTTGATAATTGCGATATATATCACGTATCACGTGTTTCTCGTAAAAATTATTTCTTTTATATAAAAAAAATATAGCCTTGTCATGTTCGATGTATTTATCGAGTCACCAATGACATAAAAGTGTAACATCAATGAAAAACAGCTGGGGACGCCATTTTGGTTACCCAATAATCATCATTTAAAATTTTTTAAACGAGAGGCTAATACATTCCCATGTCTGACGCGAATTTTATTAAAGAATTTGCCTGATCATCGAGATAATCGAGGAAGCGAGTTATAAATTTTAATGGTAGTATAATTTTAACATGAGAATAATTATTACACGGGCTTACCAAAATGGCGGATCCAGCTGATTTGCATTCAACGACGCTTTCGAATGCATTATTATGAATGCATGGTCAGTCTAGCACATTAAAATATCATATGAATCTCGAATTTGAAAAAAAAAAATCCCGAAAATTATTTACGCGAGTAGACTTATGGATGACGATTTTGTTAGCGTTTGGCGAGTTTCGAACAAAATTTGAATTGTGATTCGCGCAATTTTTCGAAGCAACTATAGGCGGAAGTTTATCTCGAATATTTGGATCGACCATGGAATGGCTGTAGATTTTCGCGAACGATTCTGTGTTTTTCGGGATGGAAGAATTAAGGGCACCCTCATTTTGGGTAGGAGAAGGAGGATTGGGAATGTGGCTTGAGTTGTTATTTCTGTTATCGTCAATTTCACCGGGTGAAAAGGAATTTAGCCGTGGCAAAAAGCCGTTTACTTCCTTGTCGTTGCCCTGGAGAGTTGTCTCGTTATCGGGGGTCAAACAACTATGGCAGTTGATAGCAGACGATTGGTTATGATTCATGAGCAGACGATTTCCGCCGTTGTCGAATCCGCCATTTTTGGGGGATAGATGATTGTCAACTCTAACGTGATCTTGGTTAGTTTCGACTAATTCCATTTGGTTGCAATTTCCGGAATTCTGATCATTCATGGAAGTTAAATTGGCTTGCGTAGACAGGCGTGATGCTAGGGTCATCTCCAAATTACCTATAAAAAAAAGAAATTAATGTGTATAGTTTTATAGCCCATTTATAAATAAATATATTTTAAAAAAATTCAATTTAATTTATTAAATGGCGATTTTTTATGATTCAAAAATAATGTATTGCTTTTGTTATTAAAAGTTAACAGTTTTATATAATATAATTTGAGGGGTAAATTTAAAGTATTTAGATAAAGATTAGGGCTATGCCGATATTAAATATCGGATCGGATCGGTATCGATATTTAGCGTTTTCCGAAAATATCGGATATGATCGGATCGGTGAAAAATATGTGGATCGGCACTGCCCTAATAAAGGTATAAATCAAATATAGGTATTTAAGATATAGATATAAGTTACTTTTTTCAAAAAAGTTCAATAAGATATACAAAACACAGATAAAGATACTTAAAACAAAATTGACATACTGTGAAATCTTAATGAGGATATAATGCTAAGCATTTTTTTTAATTTAATATATTTTCATGTAGAAATGTATTAAATATATTACAATTATGATTATTAGGGATGTACGGTCCGATATTTGACCCATTTTAAAACATCGGTTATCGGCCAATATTATAAAATTTCCCTATCCGATATGGCGTCTTTAATAAAAATACAATGTTATAAAAATTTTTTTTAAAAAGTTATTATTTATAATCATTTATTTTTATGAATTAATTCGACTTTCAATTTTTATGAATATTTTTTTTAATAATTAATTAATAAACATTCTGCCATATTGTTATTTTTTTACGCATTCTATTTATAAAAGTGTGCGATAATCTCTTCAGAATCTCTTTTTAGTGAAGCTGGTAATATTGACAGTTACCATCGCCGCAAGCTGACCTCCCGATAAATTTGAAATTTTAGTATTTCTGAAAAGAAATTTTCGATATATTAACGTTAAATATTATTTTAATCATTTATTTTCATAATATATTTGTTTATTTACTTATTATGTGTATAGATAAATGTTATATAAAAGTGATTTAACAATAAAAATATTTTATATACTTGTAGAATTGCAAATAAATTGAATATAAAATATAACTAATCGTTATAATATATTCACAAATGACATAAGTTATGGTAGAGTTTAAATTATAAGATGTTATACTAATAAAAAGTATATTAAAAATTTTAATACAGAATACAAAATTAGATATGATATTGGATCGGTAATAGGTCTATATCAATTTAATATCGAGAATATCGGATTGGATCGGCCTCCAAAAAGTGGTATCAGTACATCCCTAATGATTATATATTGAAAATAAAATTTGACGAAAAGTAATTTATCAGGACAATGCGATAATTCATATATATATATATATAAAACCTAAACTACAATTGAAATTTTTTATAAATAATCGATATTTTAAATGTAATTATTTTCTTAAATAATTTATCTTAAATAGCAGCTCAACTGGGACTGAAACTTTAGAAAAATTCTTTCACGAGCTTATATTTATGTAAGTTGCACAAAACAATTGTCTTTAATATTTTTGGTTCAATTTCAAAAACCTCATTTGAAGATATATTATTAAAACAAAAATAAATCCTTCTCAATAAAAGAGGATAGACTGATCAAATCTATTAACTTTGTCCTTAAAAATAGGTAGTGCTTTATCAAGCTACGTATTCCGCAAATATATTCTTTTATCTTCATTTATCAATATCAACCAATCCTATTTTAAAAATTAGGATATTTGAAATGGCAGTTAAAAAGGCCATTTTATATTTATATTTAGAGTTAAAGTTATGTATTCAAATAAATATATTTATTACACTATTTACCATGCTGGATAAAAATATGACAGAAAGCATTCTATATGAAAAAAAACATATGTTTTTAAAAAAATGGATGACTATAAAAAATACATAGCAAAAAGGTTTGGGTCATCCAAGTGTGGATTGGGTACTTAGTGTAGTTGAATAATTACTATATTCTTAAATGCTAAAAAATTGGCTAATAGCCGAAAACCATCCTTTAATCCTCAGGGGTTTTCTTAAATCTGAAATTAAAATTATATTTTATCTTTCTAAATTAAATAAAGATCTAAAAATATCAAATAAACTCTTTTGCATATTTATTTAAGTTGATTATACGAATACTCATTTTTTGAAAAGTATTTAAGATATAAATACTTTCTTAAGATACAAGAATCTGCAATACTATAAAACCCCATTTGGTAAAATGTAAATCAAATAGTTTTCAAGGAACATATTTGCATAAAATTATATAAGAGCATTCGAATAAAAATTAAACATTAATACCTTTAAGTCCCAATAAAGCTGGGACAAGGATAAATAATTCTGTCACCTCAATAAATACAGGCCAATGCTGAACTATATCTAAAACCATTCCAGCTCCAACTGTGCCAAAGCCAGCTATCAGATAAGGAATACATATTTGCAATGCAATACTCCAAGAAGTTTCGTTATCTTCAAATGGTTCAAAATTTGTTTGGCAATCATGGTTTGAGGCAATTTCTTTTGGATATTTATTAGAATTCCCATTATCAACATTCTTTGGATCAACATTTTTTTCTATGATTAAAGGAATCTTTTCTTGGTAAATGTCTACATTCTTTTTGGACTTTTGATTAGTTAAATCATCATTCATTAGAAATAAATCCAAGGATTCTACATTGTTAGAATTTGGTTGATTCTGATATGAAATAATATTTGCAATTTTAAGACGATTATATTTAGATAGCTCGTCCATATCCATGGTGTCAAAAGTAGAAGGCAATTTTGTAAAGGGTACCATGTTTTCTTGAATGTTATTTACAAATTCTAAATCATTGTTTGATTTCTTTTTCCTTAACCGAAGATAATTTTCATCATTTAATTTAAAGTTAAATAAATTGTCTTCCTTTTTATCGGAATTCATAAGTAAGAGAGATAATAAATTATTGCCATGTCAAAGCATTAATAAAAAATAAATAAATAACCTAAAATCAAACCATGTTAAAAAAGATGATTGATTCCTTTTAAGCTAATATGGCATCTGATAACAATGCGGTCACTATAAAATGTCAATTATTTTTTATTTAAAACAAAATAGAAATTGAAAATAAACCAGTTAATTATTTAAGGACCTTATCCCAATATATGCAAATTATTATTTGTTAATACTGTTGTTATTTTAGAAGGTGATTAATATATTTATTGCGGGTTTATACGTTTAATGGTTCTACAATAAAATATTGAATTAATTTATGCAATATTCATTCTTTGAGATTCAGCGCTAGACTATACCTAACTCGCAGTGGTTCTCCGAATCAATTTTTAAATTTTTATAACACTTTAGGAATTGGTTATTCAGAAGAGATCGAGCCAGAGTAACGTATCGCTCAAAAGATGCTAAATTTTTCTCTTGTTATTTATATAATTAAGCCAATAATAAGTATAATTTATTAAATACTGTAAAATGCTAAAATCGCGACAGCTGTTTAAAGTATATTTTCAAAAACTGATATCGGCTGTGACAAATCAGCTGTGATTTCGCTATAATTATTTCCGCATCGTTTGACCGAATTGCGTTTATAATTTTTCTAATTTACTGAAACATATGTGCAAATAGTTTGATTAAATAAAGAATATATAGATTGGATAGTACGCGAACCTTTTCTAAAATAAAATTTTGAACAGGAGTAGGAACTTTAAAGAAAATTCTCAGATTATATATTATCGGATCCGAAAAAGTAAAGGCTACTAGGCAGTGACATAGATTTGCATTCAACGACGCTTTCAAACGCCATTATTATGAATGCATCATCAGTATAGGTTTTATAATATATCATTGATACTAGGTTAATAATCCTATTGAAAACATTAGAAATTTAATTTTTTTTAAAAAAAATTGCTCTTCTGTAAAATTATAAACTCTAAATTATTAAAAGTGGAGATGGAATATTCTAGTTCACAGGCGTTTATATATATATTAAAAATTGTAATAACAACCATTACTCAATACTCAATTTCTTGAGTAATCTGACTTTCGTTTTTTATAGATTTGGCACTGACATATTCACACATATAAATGTAAGGTATTTTATAGAGTGCAAAATGCTTTCCAAAAATGAAAATAAAATATTTTTGCTCTATATTGTCATCTTGTGTGCAAAGTTTAAAATAAAATTTTTTAAAAAATAATAGGAGCTCCAATGCTACCAGTTTTTTAAGGGATTGATAATTTCTTCTATTCGCTGCTACATAATTTTCTCAAAAAATATTTGGAATAAATTAAATTTAAAAAAAAACGCATAGATAGATGTTTTTATATTAAACTATTTTAAGGCAATATAATTTATTTAAAAGGTAATATGTATAGATGACTTTATTTTTTTGAATCGTTTAGAACTATTTTTTAAGGCAATAAAATTGATTTAACAGTAATAGATGAAGCTAAAATAAATTCCATTAAAAAAAATTATTTATTTATTTTTATTCAAAATTCATATTATTAACTCATAAATCACTTGTAATACCTATAAATTTAAACGATCAAAAAAGAGTGTTTAATTGTATTAAAAATTTCGCGTATATCACCTTCTATGTATTTTATATATGAGTCGCTGTCAAGGAAATTATGCAGATGAGCTTGAGGTATGATTATTAGTAAAAAATACTAAACGAGAAAAAAAAATTTGAGCTCCTAGTCATTTTAATATTTTAATTTTTTTTTAAACTCTAGACAATAGTTAAAAATGTTTTAAGACCCAAAATACCCTATTATCTCAAATTAATATGATTGCTTAAGAAGCTAAAATTTTGTTTTAAAATCTAACTAAAACATGAGGTCCCTACAAAATTTTTATCAAAATTTAAGGGGTGGGGTGTCATGTCGCAAATTTACCTTACTTCTTTTGGACATGGAATGACCTAAACATAATTTTGTCCATTATGAATGAACATATAAATTTAGTGCAGATAAGAAAATTTTATTTATTATTTTTTGCATCGACCTTTGATGACTTGCCTGGAACTTGCGTATAATTTATTATTATTTTTTTTAATTCTCAGAATATTTAGGCCATCACGATAAGCTAAGGTTGGTTTGGTAATTTCTTTCTTTCTTTCTTTCTTTCTTTCTTTCTTTCTTTCTTTCTTTCTTTCTTTCTTCTATCGTTTGAAAGGAGGAAACCGGAAGGAACATTTATTCACCAGGTAAAGAGATGTGATTGTGGTACTTAAATATTCTTTACTAGGTAACAACTAACTAAAATATAGGAAAATTGAAAAATAGGCGCCATGTTTTTTTTTATTGGTCAACTCAAGAATGACGATACTCAAACTATCTAGCAAATCAATTACTCCCAACATAAATTGATTATAAGAAAATAATCAATCCTATTTTTACTTTTGCAAATATTAATAAATGGTTTAGGTTGGCATTGTCTAACACTATTTAATGGATAAATTCCTTGTGGATGACTGTTTTTAATAAAATTTAAAACCCGCATCTTTATTTTGAGTGACATCATCATTTCGCGGCAAAAACAATTTGAAAGTTATTCCACAGATCATTTTTCCAAATAAGATAATTTCATATTTAATTACTTTAAAAAAAAATCTAAAGAAAGACAACAAAAAAATTCTTTTCATATTTTAGATATTGCCATTAGCCATATGATATATTTATTTTTGACATGTTTCTTCAAGAAACTAAAATTTATGAATATATTTTTTAAATTTTAATTGCATTGTCCATTTGAATTCCTTTATAAATTTATTTAGGAATATATAAAAGTAACATTAAAAGTAACATTAAAAGAAATAGGAAAGAAAAATTAAAGATTAACAGCTGTTTTTTCATTTTTTTATCTGACATAATTTGGTATATTTAGGGGCTAAAGCTGATACCACTGAATATCTATGAAAAAAATTTAGTAGAAATTTATAACTTTCCTGAATAGAATAATATTTTTTCATTTTTCGGCCATTTTATATTTTTTTTAAAAAATATTATAATTTATACATCGTTTTCTAAAAAAATTTTTTTTTATTTAATTCTTCGAAATTGTATGACATCATATCATAGATACTAAAAAAAAATTATATTTATTATCACTATTCTTGTTTTTTAAAAAAAAATTGAGCTGATGTCAATCAAAGTCAATATTTCTAAGACGTTTAACCTAAAATGTCATTTATTTTATAAGCGAAGAAGTACAATGTTTTTTGAATAATAATGTAATGAAGCTGGAAAAATTAAGAAATTTGAAATTATATTCATAAATTTTTTTTAAAAAAACATAAGCAGACATAAAAAAAAATGGAATCTAACAGTTCATAAGATTTTTCAGGAAGGAATGGATCTAACAGTTATAAAAAGCACTGATACAGGCGCGTAACCAATGGGGGAGGGAGAAATCCCCACCCCAAATACCCAATCTAAATTTTTGAAAATATTTGAAATCTATTATATATCAATTTGCCAATATAAAAACTTATTTTTTTTAAAAAAAAATTAAATTTTTATTAATATTTCCTTTCCTTTGTAAGTCAGATTTTCCTGATTCCCTATTGTGAATTGGTAAATTTCTCCACGAAAATTAAAAAATCGCATTATAATTTATAAGGATTTTCCTGATTCCCTATTGTGAATTGGTAAATTTCTCCACGAAAATTAAAAAATCGTATTATAATTTATAAGGATTTTCCTGATTCCCTATTGTGAATTGGTTCTCCACGAAAATTAAAAAATCGCATTATAATTTATAAGTATTTTTGTAGTTTTGTTAAGCGGCGCGTTTTGAGGCGATTTTTATAAAAACGACTAACTCAATATTTCATTCAGAATAAACATTAGGCCAGCCCTGAAGATTTTGCTCATAGAAGGAACAAAGGTGAGACATATATCTCCAGGCTTCAGGCAATATTTTTCTGGCTAAAATGGCTAAAATATTGAGTTAGCCGTTAGAAAATCGACTCACCACAAACGAGCCGTTTAACAACACAAATTTTTTGCATAATATTGTATTTGATTAAAAAAAATAAATATTCTAGTCAATATTTTATATATACATTACAATTAGTATTTTCAATATAAAATTTTTTTTTTATTTTATCTAAACTTATATTGTAATTTACACCATAGGAAAATCCTAGATATGCCACTGCACTGATATAAGAAAAGATACTATTTTTTTTTATATAAAATTATTTCTTCAGGCTCAGTGTCCCAAGGTTGACTTTAATGTTGTTAAACGGACCGATTTGGGCCGAATTTTAAAAACCGGCAAATATTTTTCATCTTACATTTTTTTTTTAAATAACTCAATAAATAAAAAAAACCCGGTAATAAGTATGATTTGAGCAATAATAGTATTTATTTTTTATTAGAATCTCTAATTAATTAAACGGCTAAACTCAATAATTTAGCCTGAAAAAAAAAATTATTCTTTAGATCTGGCTAATACAAAAATATCCCAAAATCTTTGTGTCAATCTATAAGCAAAATCTATAATAAAGATAAGAAATTTTTTTTTTTTACTATTCATAAAAAAAATCACAATCAGAAACATTGCAAGAGATGCCATTTGCACGGCAAAACCCGGCCTAGATTTTTTTTTCCAAAAATTTTTTTTAATCCCGCTCGACCCGAATTTTTTAAGCCCGGCCCGGATATAACAATGCCGATTTCCGGCCCGGCCCAGATAATTTAAAAAATATATTTTATCTAAGCAGAGCGTCCTGGAATATTTTTAACGGGCCTGGTTTAGGCGAGCGGCCCTGCAGGTCTGATCACAATAATATAAAATAAACCAAATCCAACCCTAATATTAACAGGTAATTTATATAAATATATATATTATTAAATTTTTTTTATAAAATTATGACCATGTCCTCGTATACATAAAAGAATATTTAAAAAAAAGGAACGTTTCAAAAGAATATACATTAAAAT